ACAGAGACAGAACTGAAGAAAGTAATCTCATTTACCATAGCCACAAGAAGTATAAGATACTTAGGAATAAAACTGACCAAGGAAGTCAAAGACCTCTATAAGGAAAACTATGAAAACCTTAAAAAGGAAATCAAAAAGGACACAAAAAAGTGGAAGGACATCCCATGTTCCTGGATTGACAGAATTAATATAATCAAAATGGCAGTCCTACCCAAATTAATGTACATATTTAATGCAATCCCTATAAAAATTACAAGAGACATTCTTCACAGATCTAGAAAAGGCAATTATAGAATTTGTCTGGAATCATAAAAGACCCTGTATTGCCAAAGCCATTCTGCACAAGAAGGGTTGAGTAGGGGGCATCTCACTTCCCAACCCCAAAATATATTACAAAGCTGTGATAATCAAAACAGCATGGTATTGGCGCAAAAACAGGCATGAGGACCAATGGAACAGAGTAAAGACCCCAGAAATAAACCCCAAAACATACAGCCAACTCATCTTTGACAAAGGGTACCAGTTAATCTAGTGGGAAAAGGAAAATCTCTTAAGCAAATGGCACTGGCAAAACTGGGTATCCACCTGCACAAAGATGAATCTGAACCCCTATGTGTCACCATTAACAAAAATCAACTCAAAGTGGATCAAAGATCTAAACCTAAGACCACAAACAATATAACTACTGGTGGAAAACACTGGGGAAACTCTGGGAGACACTGGGGTAGGCCAAGACGTCTTAAGACTCCCAGAACACAGGCAAAATAGACAAATGGGATTACATCAGATTAAGAAGTTTCTGTGGGGGACCAGCAATTAGCATAATGGCTGTGTCGCTGGACTCCCACGTAGTTGACCGCGGTTTGCGTCCCAGACCGGGTGGCTTAAAATTCACACCGGGTGCGTGTGCGTACGTGCCCAAGATCCTGAGAGGAAAACGGAGAAGGGATTGTGGCGTGACCATTGCCCCTGGGGGGTGATTTCTCGCTTTCTGTCTCTCTGTCTCT